GGTGTGACGGGGATTCGAACCCCCGACTCTCAGATTGCGAGTCGAGCGTCCTAACCACCTGGCCATGCCGGGCCAAGATTAACAAATGGCAGTAAAGGGTTGAATCTGAACAATTAAAATAACAAAATTATTTTATTTTCCTTTATGAAAAAACAATACTTCTCTGTATATAAATGCCCTGGCCTCTGACTATACGTATTTATATCGAGCTTTTAGCGCATGTCCGTTGAGCCTCCTCAAGTTGCTTATATAGCAAAACGAATTCTAACATATTGTTTAACAAATCCTGATTCAGTTTATATTTAACATTTGAATACTTACAGCTAAGTTTATAATGTTTCAGATCAATAAAAGAATATTTACCTCGGCTCACATCCAGCTCTATAAATAAATAACCCTAACCAACTAAAAAAGGGTCGTACCTGGTCCCCACACCTGCTCCATGGGCTTGTGGCACCATTGCAGTACTCCTTGAGTTAATCTTTTCATTTCCCGAGCTCGGTAACCAAACGTGTATATCACAGGGTTGAGAGCACTGTTTATAGGAACGATGAACACCACAACCCAAGCAAACAGATTTTCTACATGAAAAATATTAAATGACATAAAGTTCGGCTACAGAAATCAAAATATAGTATGCAACTCTTGTTTATGATGTTTGATTCTCTACATTAGAACACATTATAAGTAGTTATCGTAATAGGCTTCAGCTCCGAAGAATAAAGTATATGAAAGAAAAGGTAGTATACGTTACTACATACCTGATATCGTTATTTCACACAGAGCAACAATCTTGATTATGACAATTGGTACCCAACACAAACAATCAGTCAAAACAATGAAAAAGCACCGAAACGCCACCACCGTGTCGTCTTTGTACCTAGCGGGTTTCAGGGTTCCGGGCTGGGACTTGCTCATTCGGCGAGAGATGATAGAAAACATCCAAACATACTGCACTACCATCAGTAGTACCTATAAAGTGTTTGAAAGTGCATCATTATTAATATTAACCATAAAGTATCCCAAAAATGTGAGAGGTATACTGCGGTAACTGGTGTCGATAAAACATGCTGCTACACTTCGTCATTAGCATTTATACAGAACAATAATCCAAAGATATACCGCATAACCATTTGCAATTTCTACAGAGTAGCTCCAAAAATACACCTATACCATATTTTCCGCCAACAAGTACCACACAATAAGCCAGTTAGACAACATAAATATCTGAAGTATTCATAAATAATTTCTCCCGGTGGGTTAACGGTAAGTTTACGGACTTAGAACGCACAAGTCCGGGGTTCAATTCATCGCTTTAGGCAGAGTGCAGACAGCCCTTTGTGTAGGCTTGTGCTTAACAAAAACAAATATATTCTCCAGCGATATATATTTCCTTTAGGAAACTGAAGCTGGAAGTATTTTGTATTTATAAGTTCAGTTTTGTGTTTTGCGTTTTAGGATTGAAAAATAATCGCGTATGGCTTAGTGATTAGCGTGCCGGACAGTGAATAATGGTCCACGGCTCGCGTCCCCTTCCAGCAACATCACCCTCCACACTTTGGGACCGTGGATGCGTTATAAACTTGATAGTGAAGTCCCATTATTCGATTAGAATAGCTCAAGGGCTCGTGGTGAGTGCTGTTGACTAGCTGTCTTTCCTCTAGTCTCTCAGTTAAAAATTAAGGACGGCTAGCACAGATAAAAAAAAAACATTTTAAAAAATTGACATCTTTCACTTCTACTGTTAGATCCATTATACTGGATTGTAGTAATTTTGGCGAAGTATTCGGAAAGCGCTACACAAAAACAGAACTGATATCTGTTAATTTCATTGTTCGATACTTAGGACGTCTCACTGGTTTTGATTTTAAAATATTATTCACGCGCTCTACATTCCATTAACAACTCACATAAAATGAAAAGATCCTTTCCAAGCCCCTAAACCAAATAAAAGTTATCTATCGAAATCAACGTTATAGCCTGTTCAATGCGATGTTTAGCTACTACTATGTACACTAGTTTTTCGTATTGACAGATAATTATACGTTATAGTGCGGTTGCTTCAAACAATAAAATAAAATGAACTCGTTGAATGAATTACATCTTTGATCCAAAATTACTAAATATTATCAAAACGACAAATTAACAGATAAACTAAAGTCCCGCCAATCCCATACTGGCATCGCTCTTCTCACAAACAGCTTGAGGATACTAACTCTGTTTATTAACACTTTACTCGTTTCGGCTAACTTGGTCATTAACTTGACAATCAAATATGCTACTTATTAGCTTCATGGATACTTTCTCCAAGAAAGTATGTTACTAATTTAACAAATATTGACTTAAATTTGGTTGATAACTGATTTGAGAAACAAGTAACACATCTTATAAAATACAGGAAGGTTGATCACTAATGTAGAACACAAATAATGGATAATTACTTTAGATGTGTTGGTCAAGACCTTGACATAATCAAAGAATAATGTCAACAGAAACGTTACTCAGTAAAATGAGATACGGATAACGGATATTTACTGCAGTAACGTTGGTTAATAATCCCAGAAACAAGTAGCGGATATAACTTTGGCTGAGTATTCATTGCTAACTTGACCGATAATTACTTAATACTTACAGCAGGAAAGTTGACTCCAAGGAACACAAAAGTTGAAAATTCCCATCCCAGCATGTAAGGGTCATCAATATGTAGAGGGAAGCAGAGCCCGTTACTAGAGTAGAATCCACGGTCGTGCGGCCACCTGATCACGGGAAATAAAGCCAAGACTAGACCACACAGCCAGATTCCTGCCAAACTGTAGAGGGCAGCGTTTGTTGTCACCCTATGGTTGTTACACTTAAAGCAGAGATATCTGTCCATTGTCATTAGGGTTAGGATGAGGATGGATACCTCACAAGATAACATGGCCAGTACGCCACAAGCTGTGCATCCCCAGCTGGACATCCATTGATGAGCATGTCTGTTGTACTCGTCCCTGAAAGCCACATCTTTGGCCCCGATGACTACAAGGTATACTCCCATTAGAAGATCCGACACTGAGGAAAGTAAAAGCTTTGAAACAATAATACAGGTTATATAAGACAAATCTTTAAAATCGTGAATATTACAGCTTTTAAAGTATGTCACACATTTCAAATGAAAGATTTCTGAAAGAACTGGCGTAATAAATTCTGATGCTAAAATAGTCGACATTAATTAAAAAACAACAACATTATATTCATTATTATGGACAAAAGCTACAACAGGATAGTGCTTTCTCGGTTCCTCCAATGGTTAAACGTTAAGTCTAAAGACTTATAATGCTAAAAACCGGGTTTAAATACCCGACTTTGGCTCAACACAGATAGCCATTTGCGCTTAGCAACAAGCAAACAAAATCTCCCAGTTAGCTCTTGAGTAAAAATAAATATTAGCATCTGATGTGTTAAACCTCATTTATTATTACGTTAAATGCTATAATACAAACGTGAAACAATCTTGTTACAACACAAACTACTTTAGGATAGCGCATCACTCCAAGAATCTGATAGACATTCCATTGAATGTAACATGTTAAATACACACTAGTTGTCCTATACAAATGTGACTTGTATTCTCATTAGTCGAGACTGGGTATTTAAATGTAAACTCCAAGAATCTGATAGACATTCCATTGAATGTAACATGTTAAATACACACTAGTTGTCCTATACAAATGTGACTTGTATTCTCATTAGTCGAGACTGGGTATTTAAATGTAAACTCCAAGAATCTGATAGACATTCCATTGAATGTAACATGTTAAATACACACTAGTTGTCCTATACAAATGTGACTTGTATTCTCATTAGTCGAGACTGGGTATTTAAATGTAAACGGTTTTGAAAATTAGGGTATTTCTGTAATAAGTTATTCTCACATACGAAGAATACTGTACAGTACACCGTGAGACACAACAGTAAATCTCCAGTTTACATATTCTGAATTTACTATATTACAGTTAGGATCTATTTTGGTATCACCTGAACCAACCGTAATATAGCCTGAACTAACTGTCACTATACATTCTCAGCTTACATAATAACTCTGAACCAACTACAACATACCATCAGCTTTCATAATAAACTCTCACTCTCAATATACATACTAACTCTGAACCTACTAAATTTACCGAAATACATCTTGAAGTACAAAACTCAACCTACGACAGGTACGTTGTGAACGTACCACAGAACTGTGGAGATCCTAAACGCACAAAACGGCAATAAGGTGTGTTCCAGGATCTGTTGGTTATGTTAACAGGTCACTTGTGACAAATGAAAAAGCAGCCATTAATGAGGTACCCGGTAAAGCATTAGAAGACTTATATGAATTATTGTTTAACATTGCTCATTTATCAATACAAAAATAATTCTAGGATAATAAAACTCTAAGACAGAAAATACATTACAGCAATACAAATCACCTTCACGTACAAAATCGTGATAAAGCTCTGTTTAGGATCAGTTCTTCTTAGCCAGCCTGTATTATAATAGTGCATTGCATTTCTATTTTCACATAGATATGTGATAACTGGTCAAAAGACCGTCACAGACCACTAGGAAAGATCATTATGCAATATTATCACGAGTGAATCAAGTAAAGAGACATAAAACTAGATTTCTGGATATCATAGCAGTTCTTCTGAAGTACTTAGATACCTATAATTGGGTTACAATCTGCCCTCTTTGAAAGACAGTTAAATCATACTTATTTTCCATGTTACTTGGCAACTAATGTGGACTAGAGATCATCTATCTGAGGAGTCATTGAATGTGGACTAGAAATAATCTGTCTGAGGAGTCATTGAATGTGGACTATAAATAATCTGTCTAAGGAGTCATTGAATGTAGACTATAAATAATCTGTCTAAGGAGTTATTGAATGTGGACTAGAAATAATCTGTCTAAGGAGTCATTGAATGTGGACTAGAAATAATCTGTCTAAGGAGTCATTGAATGTGGACTATAAATCATTTGTCTAAGGAGTCATTGAATGTAGACTATAAATCATTTGTCTAAGGAGTTATTGAATGTGGACTAGAGATCATCTGTCTAAGGAATTATTGAATGTGGACTAGAAATAATCTGTCTAAGGAGTCATTGAATGTAGACTATAAATAATCTGTCTAAGGAGTCATTGAATGTGGACTAGAGATCATCTGTCTAAGGAGTTATTGAATGTGGACTAGAAATAATCTGTCTAAGGAGTCATTGAATGTAGACTATAAATCATTTGTCTAAGGAGTCATTGAATGTAGACTATAATTCATTTGTCTAAGGAGTCATTGAATGTAGACTAGAAATAATCTGTCTAAGGAGTCATTGAATGTGGACTAGAAATAATCTGTTTGAGGAGTCATTGAATGTGGACTATAAATCATTTGTTTAAGGAGTCATTGAAATAACATACTAATCAGACAACTGAGGAACATTCCATCTAACACCTGGAGAAGGATTGGCACATCCTTAAGTAGGTGTTTCTATTATTTATCCACCTTTTTCCATCTCATTAAAGCAAAATCATAGATGGAAAAGCATTCTAATTGCTGCAATGGCATATGTAGAGAAAGTTGGCTCAAAATCCAATATAACTGAACAATTCAAGGAAGAGGAGAGAGTAAAAAAAAAAAAAAATAGCAAGTCAGGGAGACTACACTATAATTTTCAGATCCCACATTAACTGTAATAAGTCAATAAAGGTGCGACTTCATTCTACGCTAACAATAGCTAAATAATGTAATTCCCATGGAACATTTTAGCTCATTACTGGTGTGATCACTTCTCATTCTAATTAAACTAGCTATAATAAAGCATATATTGTGTTACAGTGTTACATAGTAACTATACACAGTTTACTGAAGTGGCCGGTGTGTCAAAAGTGGTATTCAAAATAATGTTTAATAATTAAAAAAAAAAGAAATTTAATAAAAGTTAGGATTGTTATTATATTGAAATTCCTTTTAAATGCAGAAAGTAGAAACATTAGATCACACTGAATAATTTTAAAGATATTTCCTTTGTTTTTTAATTGAAAGTTCAATATGTATTTAACTTTCTGAACACGAACTATGAAACCTATCCCATACAAAAGATAATCTGTAGTACATTAATATTACGAAATAAAATTCAAAATTGCAGTTTTATGTTTTCTGTGATATAATTAATTAGTAGACTAACCTGCAAGGTTCTTAATGAATAAAGCTGTAATCTGGTACTCTTCTGTTCGACGTCGAACAATGATTCGCCAAAATAACACCAGGCTGTTTCCTGAACATGTTACTAGCGCTACCACCCACACTGACATGCGCAAAACTGGTCGCACTAGTAAGTGCTCAGTAGAAGAAAGTCCGTCTGTGTTAGGTCTACATATTCGCACATACGGAGCGAAACTACAGTAATGGAACTTCTTGAAGTATCTACAAAAATAAATAAATAAAACAATCTTTAGGTATCTTTGCATTTACAATATATCATCATATTACACTGTACAATGTCGGTGCACATATGTCATAAAAACATGTCGAAATTAAATTCTCAAGTGTGCTCCACACTATTTTTATCAATTTTAACGTTTTAATGCTTGATCGATGTATTTTAACTATATGTTTTCTACACATACCTAAATTCATACATGCTTCACAATAAATGAGAAGTTAATACACACTTAAGAATTAATGAGAAGTTAAAACGCTTTGGGATTCATGAGGAGTTAAAACACACTTCAGAATTAATGAGAAGTTAAGACAATTCAGAATTAATGAGAAGTTAAAACACTTTGGGATTAATGAGGAGCTAAAATGCATTTTAGGATTGATGAGAAGTTAAACACACTAGAATTAATGAGAAGTTACGACAATTCAGAATTAATGAGAAGTTAAAACACACTAGAATTAATGAGAAGTTACGACAATTCAGAATTAATGAGAAGTTAAAACACACTAGAATTAATGAGAAGTTACGACAATTCAGAATTAATGAGAAGTTAAAACACACTTCAGAATTAATGAGAAGTTAACTCACACTTCAGAATTAATGAGAAGTTTTTTTTGTTTTGAATTTCGCGCAAGGCTACACGAGGGCTAACTGCGCTAGCCGTCCCTAATTTAGCAGTGTAAGACTAGAGGGAAGGCAGCTAGTATCACAACCCACCGCCAACTCTTGGGC